GCCCAACCGACCCTACAATATTGTGCAGTTGACAACATCAAGAACAAACAACATGCATGCACAAAATTAAAGTTATAAAATGGCGACAATTTACCCAATGTACTGGACAAAAGTTAAGGAACGATGTTAATAATTTGAATAAACTTTTAATTTACATTGTTAAAAAACTCAATGGAGCTTTTCAACAATAAGTAAAAGTTCATTTATCATTAGGACTTTATTTTTAAGCAATATGGCAAATTCTACAAGCAAAACGCTCTCTTTTGAAGAAAAAAACTCATTATCGCTAGCTATCAAGAAAAAAAGTCAATTTCTGATATCGTTCATAGGTCTAAAAGTGTCGCTCATCATGTAATTAGCAGGTATAAAACCAATAAAATATTAGATGCAAAACCAAAAACTGGCAGACCTCCAAAAACATCGCAGAGAGAAGATCGAAGAATTGTTAGAATATCTACAAAAAAACGTTTTGAAACTGCTACATCAATTGCCCGTAAATTTAATGAAGAGACAGATCATAAGATCTCAAGGAAAACGGTTGCTCACAGGTTAAAAAATGCAGTATTGCATGCCCGTATTCCAGCTTTGAAGCCTCTCATTTCAAAGCGAAACCAAAGGGCACGCCTGGAGTATGCGAGAGAACCTGTTGTTTGGACTGACGCACAATGGGATACAGTTCATTTCGGTGACAAGTCCAAGTTTACTATATTTGGTTCTGAGGGCAAAGCTTACGTACGTCGTAGAACAGGTGAAAGACTGTCTTCACAATGTGTCAAGAAAACCGTTAAGTTTGGTGGCGGCAGTGTGATGATGTGGGGAATGATTTCATCAGCAGGAGTTGGCCCTATCATCTGCGTACATGGCAATATCAATGCTGAGATTTCCAAAAGGCTTCTTCAGCAGCATTTGGTACCAAGATTACACCATAATCTTTATGAATCTCCTATTTTCATGCAGGACAATGCACCTTGCCACAAGGCTCAGAAGGTTATGGCTTTATTTGAAGAAGAAGGAATTGCCCTAATGAAGTGGCCAGCCGAGAGCCCCGACCTGAATCCAATAGAAAATGTTTGGAAGATAATTGGAGAAAGGGCTCAGAAAAGAAACCCGAAAAACCAGGGTCACCTATGGGAGTTATTGAAAGACGAATGGGAAGGAATTACTGCTGATTTTTGCAAGAAATGAATTAGATCATGTGGTTGATGATGCAGAGAAGTCATTGAAAATAAGGGGATGTTTACCAAATATTAAATTTTGTTGATATTTTGTTCACAATTAACTTTTGTCCAGTAGCTTATTTCCTTTGTTCCATTTAATCTTTATTTAAAAAAAAAAACTATTATGTAAATTTTTGTAACTTTGTATAATATTTATGCATTACACCCTAATCTTTATTCGGTAAAAATTTCATTGCTAATCATGCATTACTCTTTAAGTAATACACATATTTATGTCTTTGTTGTTTCCGTTCCTTATATTATGGCCGCTACTGTATATTGATTTGATGGAAAATTGATAAGTGATCACTGAAAACAAAGCATGTTAACCTTTAGCACACTGCATTATTAATATTCCTTCCCTTTGCACTGCATTTTTTTTCAAGGCCTCTCAGTTGCAGTATCCTTACGGTTAATTTAACTCAAAGATTTTCTGTTGCCATAGCAGGATATGACAACACATCTATGAAATTCAAATACACTATTGTTCAGAGTCACCTTTAGTGGTAGGATAAACTTTTTGTACAACAAATGAAGTCACATACAGAGTGATAAAGGTTAATTATACTAATGTGAAAATATTCACAAAGAGACAATGAGTTCTCACATCTGGGCACCTGACAATAACTAATTTAGAACTTGCATATGATAAAATTATAGTATTGTGTTCAAGCCTCATTGAAGCTCTGTTCTTGTTGCCTGGTATGAGACAAAGGCAAGGTTAATAAAAGGTCTGTTATAGCCAGCTGCCATATTGATTACATTTTATTTTTAAAGCATTGACTTTGAAAGAATTTCTATATGTCATTTTTTAATAAAAAGGTGACGTATTCTTCTAAGGATATTAAGTTATAGTTCTTGATAATTTTATCTTCTTTAAATATAAAGTTTTGTGTGTCTATATTGGCTTACAGAGTATGACAACAGGGATTTGCTATTGTCATTAATACCATTTCCTTGGCAATTACAGTTCTCCACGTCTTCCTTTGTTGTGCATGTTCTACATATCATAATAGTGGTTTGTTAATGCCTTCAACAGATGCCATATCTCTGGGGATAATCTTTAACTTTTAGATAATGATTTTATTTCAGAACTTTAAAAAACACTAAGTAGTGAAAATACTTTGACTAGAATTCTCATTTGTATTGCTTTTAACAAAATATTTTTGCCTATACATTTTTCAGCTTTCTTCTGGGAACGTTAATTAAAATAAACTTTAAACATCATAAAATTTTTCATTTTTCCACCACCGTCTTCATGAGGACAATTGACAGATTGTGTGTAAATCTTTGATAAATTGTTTTTACAAGTTGTATGTAGCCCCATAAATCTATATTTCCTGCTGCTAAATTTTCATGACATGAAGGTGCTGAAGGTCCTCCAGCTTCAGATAAATATGCTGAAGGTCCTGGTGGTCGACATCCTTCCAGTAGCTGCATTATCTGCCACAAAGATGTCACCAGATGGTGGATCAAACTGGTAAGGTAGTCATCAGATTACTGCAGGATGTTTACATTTGTGAAATTAATTTTAAAATTAAGCTTATAACAAAAGGAATAATTGATCAGCATTTAAAATATTACCACATGCAGAAAGTTGAATCATAACACTACATCTCCAAGGTGTCCCTGACCCCTATGACTATATTGTAATTAAAAAAATCCACACGTCAATGGACAAAGGCTTTGGTTAGCACAGAGGTGCTATATACAACCCAACAAAAACAATGGAACTTCTGAATAATAAAAAGAAAACAGAGTCAAACAATAGCAACAAGGTTTATTAATAACAAGTTTACAGATGCAACTGAACTCTTCCTGTTGACTTTAAAAATTATATCTTATCAAGCATATGCACTACAAGTGTGTCATGAGAAAAATGATAGGATTTGTTGAATACCAATTGGGGATTTTTATATCAACAAAAAAGAAAGTGTTATATTCTGTTTAAAATTAGATCTTGTTCTGAATCACTCCACTTCAAAACGTGTTGGCCAGATGTGAATGCTACAAAAACAAAATTAAAAATAAAAAAGTTGCTCTCTGCTTAGGGGCTCTGTACATCACATCTGGCTCACAAAACAAATCCTCAAAATATAAAAATAAAATCTAAATGTTGGAGACAATCATGAATGTTGCCACTAAACCAAAAGCATGACAAAAAAAAAAGAAAAGAATGATGAGTCATCTATCCACCCCGACTGCTTAAAAGGACCTGCTTGGTGTTATTGAAAGGTAGACAGGCAGTCAGAGTTCACCAGTGGCCTCCTGGTCAACTGATCTGACACAAGCTTCAACATCAGGCCCGTACACAACCAACTCTCCCACCTTCCAGATTACTTACCTCATTTACAAAAGGGACATTTTACCTTCATCCATTATACCACCAATACAGATAATTTTATTTTAACATGTCTCCTTTCCTTTCTGCCTCACCAGCAAAACATTTTGTTTTCATTATTACCCTTACAACTATATGTGGTATATAACAGAAGGCTGTTCATATCTATGTGACTATTAAATTATTCCTCCCACTAACTGTGAACTCACAATTCTTGGCATGTATTCATACTGTTTCTGTGGAATGACTTATGCCTAGCTAACGTTTTTATTTATTTATATATATATATGTGCGTGTGTGTCAGTCAAGCGATGCACACATAAGCTGATATAATTCTGTTTTTTGAACACTTGTGTTTTTTCTGTGTGCCATTATAAATTTAATTATATTTTGCAAACAAAACATGCAGAGCATTCACCCAATGTAACCAATAATTCTTTGCTTGCACCCCTTCAATTTGTTATTGTGAAATTATCTATGCTGAACATGTAACAAACATAAAACTTTTCTTTTCAGCTAGATAAAACTATATTCTCAACTTTTTTAAGTTAACAGTGTAAATTTTTATGTTTGCAGAATAGAACATAATATACCCTCACTTTATCAAAATTCTATTCTCAGCCTTTGAAATTACAGAACACTCATGATATTACAGTGAATCATTGAAAACATTTAACATAAATCTAGCTACAAGTCAGATCAATTCATGGAGTAGCAACATATTTTTTTTTCTTTTCTTGCACTTGAATATAACACAATGACAGTCTATAACCCCACCAGGTTTTAAACCAAAATATCAAAAACCTGTAAATAATGATTTTATTATTGCAATATGTGGAATGACTTGTTGGCTGAGATAGTTGTATATTTCACCACAAGTATCATTATGGTAAAAAAAACAAACAAAAAAGAGAATTTCAAAAGTGATTTTTCGAGGTAGCTTTCCAGCACTTGGAAGATGACACAGATCTTTCTATTTCCAATCCCACATTATTCAGCTTCGTGCCAAACTATGTTAAGCTTAGTAAATTGTAAATATTGTACTTTTAGCAAGTTGGATCCTTACTAATTGCTCTACTACTCTGACTTTATACTAATCTAAGCTTTGTAAATATTGTTTTGATATCAGAAATTGAAAAACAGCTAAGAGTCTGATTACGTTCAACTTTTTTAACACTATCATATTTTAATTTCACCGAGTTTATTTCATTCATTATGTAATTTTAAAAAAAATTTCCAACTTTTTTTTTTTTTTACTATCTACAACCAGTCCATATGACCTTCATAAAATAAATAAAAATACAACTTTCCTTATTTCTAAGTAAAAACATTTCTGAATAATTGCTTTTGTTTATAAAATAATAGCAAAGTAAGATATTTAAATAAAATTACTTATCACAAAGATATCTGTTCTATTATGTAGTTTACAGCTGCTGTGAAACTAGGAACTGTTTGATGAGGTGGTGGGCTTATCTTTTCTTCATCTCCTTCTCGATATTTTCCTATTAAAAACAAAAAGATTCAGTAAATTAATAACCAGGTTGAATATAAATATGTTGTTGCCTATTGAAATAAAAGAAATTGTTTCAGAAATGGAAGATTATATTTAGACAAGGTCACTGTAGATTATTGTACAATATAAATACAGAATCATCTCAAACTCCCAGCCACAAATATGCATGATCATGCACAAGGCTGGTGCAAGGATCTTGTGCTCCCCACTCCAAATCTATGGAACCCTCCCCCACTCTATTACATCTCAATTACAAATATTATTGTAACCTAATTATATACAATAATGAATTATATGCAATATAGGTGAAAATTTAACTAGAAAAATTTAAAATAAATAAATACATTGTATCTAAATACAAATTAGAGACATGTCATACTAGATCATTCCATCTTAAGTAAAACAATGTTTTGTGGCAATTTTTAACATCAACATGAGATTTTTGTTAAAAAGTTGAATAATTTTAATTCATTGACCATTAGGGATAAAAAATAGTGAATTATATCGTGTTTTTTTTTTCAAGATTTAGCATGAGCAAAATAAATTCAGGGATTTGAACAAAAAAACAAATCCAGAATGACATCAAAATCCATAGACATTTTTCATCCTTCAATATTTGTAATGTATATAAATGTAGGTAGAAAAAAAGCAATCAGGAGGTTTGTGGGTATTACACACCAGACCTGATCATGCACCTCAAAGAAATACCTACCTTTATTGATAGCTGGAGAAACTACAAGCTTCTTGTTTTGTTCACTACAAATTTCAAATAATGTGATGAAATCTAACAAGAAATATCACACTATTTACGTGCTGACCAGTGTCCTCATCTTTGTTATCACATTACAGGCATTGTGTGTTCCATCTGGCCTTCATCAGGTGTGTGTGTTGATCCAGGTAACCTACAGTGAATTCTGAGAGGTTAGGTTTAAGGTACCAAGTTTTCCACAGATAATTGTCCCATGGGACAACAGCCTGGTGGATTAAAGTGAGGTTTTGTTAATTTGGTGACCTAGTAATTGTGAGTTCAATCCCTGGGCCAAGCAGTGTGCACTTGGACTCAGTAGAAACAGAGCAAGCAATAACTGACCAGTACTAAAAATAAGAACTAAACAGGATATCCCTAGACAACAACAAAGATGAGGACAATAGTCTGCATATAATGTCAATAATGATAACTGATAACCCCTCATCCTTGAAATTCAGACAAAAAAGAAAAAAAATATGACTAGCGTGAATATTATTTTTTAAAATCAATTTTTACTTTAGTCTCAAACTCATTAAATGTTTTTGATCTAAAACAAAATTCAAATATGAAGATTTTAATTTATGCTTTTGAGGTTACAGTTGATATTTCTGAAGAGGTAAGATATTAATACACTCACCAGTTTTAACAAGGATGCCTTTCAGTCCTGCATTCTGTGCCCCTCCAATGTCATCATGAACATCCTTTTCCAAAAGAGTATCAAGGCAAAATTAAAAGATTTAAATTATGTCAATTTAAATTACAAGGATATATATATTATAATACCACCAGTAAAGTACAGAATTAAAAAGGTCACATCAAGAAATTTCTATGTTGGAACAACTGTCAGTTAAAATGGATAAGTTGGTGTAGAAGAAAAACAATCACAAGAAATAAAAAAAAAAAAAAAAAACTGATAAAGTATTTTTATTTAATAAAAGATGTGAGATGCAGTCTTGCTGACAAATACTAAGAATATCATGGACATAAAATGTGGGCAATGAGAAAGTTTTAAGAAAAACATGAACTAAAAAAGAACTTTTAATCAGAAAAGATCTGATATTTCTGGGACACAATGAAGAAAGAAGGTTTACGGAATTTAACACTCACACGATATACTGTATATACTTGTGTATTATGCTACTTTTAAGGGAGTCACATCATACAGGAGATATAAAATTTGTGTGTGTGTGTGTATATATATATATATATATAGCTGGCAATGGCTACACCATTGGCCAAATTATATATCTATTTATTGTAGTAAAAAAATACAGCTGTATTTAAAATAAACATGATTTTGATAAAACTGATGTTTTACTTAACTGTATCCAATAATGGCTGACTCTCTCCCATCATATGAGGGTCAAGCAGCTCAGTTCCTAGGAACCAATAGCTCAGACACCAGCACATATGATTTGATTATAGTGGTGAAGGCTTTGTGCAGAACCAACAACTTTTTGAAGGGCTGAATACAGAGATTTGGTGCAGTACATGTCACAAGGTCCCCAAACGACCTTTCACAGGTTTTGAATTCAGAGTTGTCCTTCTCCTAGACCAGTTGCCATCCAAGGCTATAGAACCCAGTCTGTCCTGCTATTTACCCATAGCTGAACAGAGAAGAGGATTCATATCTTTCCCAAGGGTATTAGCACATAAGTGAATGTAATGGATTTGAGTGGAATTCAAATCCAATAATAATACATGTAATATTCACATATTAATATCATATTATAAAATACAAATATAGTGAATATGCATCTTTTCCATTGTTTATAAGCTGTTTCGCTGTCTCTCATTCAGTTGTTTATGTCTGTATTCATTTACACAATGAGTATAGTGTTACTTACAACACTTTTATCATTCTCTTTTACTTTATAATGTTTAACAAGAAGATGGGATAAAGAGATAAAGGAAAAGAGGTTAGTCTATTTTAATTTAGTCTCTCAAAAAAGAAACTCACATGATACATGAGGTACATGATAAAATCATTTTTTATAAGTGAAAATTTGGGGGTTGTGAGATCATGTGTTACACAAATATATACAGTATTGAAGGCAAGAAGCAGCATATAACCTATTTAATGAGTTTGTATGAATAGATGCCAGAACAGGGGCAAAGAAGTTTAAAGAGTCAAAAGTTATTTTGAGCAACAAAAGACAGGATGTTATGGAGGACCAGGATCTCCCAATGTCCTGGCATATACAAAAAAGGTCCGTTAGGTGGTCATGGTGGTGATAGGAAGATCTCTTACCAAAAGATATGTATTCTGATGCTTGATCACTGAACTACTGAATTTAGGACCGGGTCCTGGCTAATAACTTTTCAGTCATGATCAGGACTTTGTGCTAGCCAGTCATCCAAAAGTTTAACATTTTCATTCACAAGAAACCTTTTTGCTGCACATGATGTGTGGAAGAGAGTACTGACATACTGAAAGATTTCTCCATCTTTAAATTCTGGCAGAAATAAACTGATATAGTTTTTACTGTTTAAGTTTCCATCAACTTTTACCAAGTTTCTTCTACTATCACTTTTGATGTAACCCCATACCATGACATGTCCATCACAAAATTTTCCTCTTGATGTGGTGTGTTTTATATTGTTTCTTTCTCCCACTTGTATTCTCTTGAATGTAACTATTTTGTATTCATCATTAAAAATTACATTTCATCTCTTTCCAGCATATCATGTTAAAAATTCTTTTAACCACTTCCAATGTTTTTGGTTAATGATAGCTTTTTGCTGTTAGACATGTGTTCATAACAATAGTTATTTTATTGTTTAGTTATTTCATGTCCTTTTAATTCTGATATGTTTTTTGTTTTATTAAAACAATTTTAATCTGGATAATTCAATGGTTATTGTTGTTTTCTCCTTTTCAATACAATAAAAGAAAAGTTGTGTCAAATCTTTAAAGTGATATTTTCATGATTATTTCAGAGTTTTATTTTTTCAAACACAGAAAGAAAGCAAGCCAACATTTTTAACAAACTATTGCAAACATTATACCCCCAAATAAAAGAACCAACTTTAAAAGTTTTGTAACTTTTATACACTTTTGTATAATTTACACGAAAAGTTATGTTTTTGTTTAACCCCTTCTCTGGTGTAGATATGTATACAGGCATCCATCAGTTAATGTGTTTTCAATTAGTGCCCTAAAATTTTTATATACCAAAATTCAATTAGCATGATAAAACCATTCTTCAGTTTAGCCATAGGAACTGAAAATTTATTTCTTTATAGTTACCAATGTACAAATTAGCGACAGTAATCAAGGGATTCCTGTATACTTTTTTTTTTTTTTATTACTGAAAGTCTTTTTCAGACAGTGACAAACAAACACATCCAAAACATAACATTCAAAAACCAGCTACAGATGTGTTTATACATCGATCTTGATCCTTTTTTGGCCCTTCTGAACTTTAAACAAGTATAACCCCTCTTCACGGTGCCTACACCTGATGACATAACCACATTTAGCGGTTTGATCCTCAGGGTCTTAGGACGACATTTTAACCCTGTGTTGGTCAATACTGATGCTGGTCCAAGCTGGCTGTTGGTCACTGGCTGCTTTGATCCACACCCACTCTGTCCATGTGTTCTTGATCTCAAAGCAGTGAAATATCAAATGTCATAGTAATTGAAGCACTGGCTTGAGACATGGTGGAAGCTACAGAAAGGGAAGAAATATCTTCACAAACACAATTAAAAATGAAAGAATGATTAGGTTAATCTTCGATTGGTTCATGTATTTCTTGGTACAACAAAAATTAACCCTTTCTGCATCAATCTCTATAGTGACACTGAGCCTCATCAAAAATTCTGGAGGAGCTGGGTTCAGAGTCAGGAGAGTTGGTGGCAGCTGATGTGCATTTCAGAGGCACTTGATGCGGGAATTCACTGCAGAAGTCCTCAATCTCTCAGCTTATATGCACTTAGGGATTGACGGTTCTAGGGATTCAGTAATTCCTCAATTTTCACAGTAATCCTAACAAGGGTTCTTTGTTCCTATTCCTGCTTCCTTAATCAACTTTCTAAATTTGAAGAATTATCCACCTTCCTTGGGAGAAGTCACAGGATGGCTCATCCCCCTCAACTCCAACTTGCTTCACTTTACATCTCATACCATCATGCCATATAGGCAGTGCTAAATTCTCTTTCTTCCTACCCTCTTAACATTCAACCTCAGAATACTTCCCAGGGCAGGCATAACTGTTTTTGTGACAAATTTAATTTTTGTAGGTGAAAGGGTAGGGTTTTATTCTAGTCATTAATTTTAATTCTCTGATTCCTTTCTATTTCCCTTATCTCTGTTCTGTGAAAATATAAACTAGACCACTATGTTGCTCGTCAACAACAGAACTGGTTTTCACAACTTCTGTCTTAATCATACATTTGACCTGTAAGAAAAGTTTGTTCTAATTTAACTTTATTCTCAAGGTAAAAATAAAATTATTTCTCAATTCGTTTCACTGCATGCCAGACTCTCCATAAATAAAAAATGAATTCTTGGTGCATCATTCCAATTCGTAGGGGCAAGACAATCCAGATGGACCCTTTTCACTTCCCATCACCAGGGAAAATGTTGTCCACTATCTTCCAGCTTATACTGCATATTAACCATTTTTAGCCTTCCAAGTTAATACTTAACATTAACCACTTCATGGCCTCAGTGTCACACAAATCCAATTGTTAACTCATACATATGATAGAGGTGTCAGATATAACCCCTCTTCACGGTGCCTACACCTGATGACATAACCACATTTAGCGGTTTGATCCTCAGGGTCTTAGGACGACATTTTAACCCTGTGTTGGTCAATACTGATGCTGGTCCAAGCTGGCTGTTGGTCACTGGCTGCTTTGATCCACACCCACTCTGTCCATGTGTTCTTGATCTCAAAGCAGTGAAAGATCAAATACTTCAGGTACTTCAAGATGCCTCAGTTTCTTAGTTACTATATTAAAAACAAATAAAAAATTTGTCTGCAAATGAAACGTTTTTCCCAAAATAATTTGCGAGGAAGAGGTTAACAAAATTTTAATATTATGCAGATCATATCTTTTACCAGAAATTTTAGCTTTCTTATTCACTTACTGTTGCTCACACACAAAATATATATTTGAATTTATTTAACTTTCAACACATGTGATTATCATCAAGTATAGGTCAAAATGTCATTAAGGTATTTTGAAAGTGTTAACTTTTTTCCAAAGATTTTTGAAATTCAAACATTTTGATATAGGCCTTCAGTTCAGGATCTTAACTGCACCATGAGACCTGCTGTATAGAACACCATGGACAACCCAATGATATATAAGCATCTACCTGAGATAGAAAAGAGAGTGTGCCACATCCTTGCAAGGAGATTTGAAAAAAAATAAAAGGTACAAACCCACTCACCTATATTAATTGACAAAATCCAAAGGTGAATAAACATATATAGGAGAGATTTAGTCTCATGTTTTTATTAGTGTCTACAACGATAACATTACATACTCATCAGGCTGACCTACTCACAAAAAAAAATCAAAAAAAAAAAAAAAACACACATTCAATTTCATATGCAGGGTTAATATTATTATATATGTATATATATATATTTATATTTATTTATTTATTTGGTCAAGCTAGCTTGAACATCATGACAACCATCACAGTCTTGCATCAAGGTCAGAAGGTCATTAGGATGGCATTCTGTGTCAGAACATAACTGGTCAATATAGGTGATTGTTGAGTGACCAACATGTCTTGCCCCATAGTCAGGTGTCCAGAGAGTAGAGCAGTAGATCACTTAAGAGTTCTTGTTCTTATCAGCAGTGTCCTGCAAAGAATTCTGTGTTCACATAAGAATGTTGAAATATCAGGGATGGGTCCATACAGCTGTGATTTAGTTGGATGTTGTCTCCAAGAGATGTTAAGTATAGCTGTCAGCATCTGAGTGTCGATTCCATCAAGCTTAGACTCTTGCGTTTTAGTCAATGTCCAAGCAGTGGCACAATACATTAACACCGCCTGAAATAATCTCCATTTGAGGTTGTCTGGTAAATCAGATTTCATCCATTTTACTCAAGGGAGCCCAAGCTTTAGCTATGCAAATTTTTACATCCTTTTCAGTAATAAATATTTGTAGGATTAAAAAGCTCTTACAGAAGGTAGCAAAGGAAAGTGAGAAGAAAGCACTAAACTACAAAAAGAGAGAATGCATGGTTGTTAGCAAAAGGATGAACCAAAAATGCAAATTACAAATTGGAGATACCAAAATGAAATACAATTTAAATATCTGGGAAATGTTCTAATAGAGGATGGAAAGTGTGACATTGAAATCCAATGCTGCATTGGGATAGCCAAAGATATATTCTGAAAGCTAAGCAGAATATTAAGAAAAAGAAAAACTTGGTTAGAAACAAAGAAAAGAGTATTTAACTGTCATATGATATCTGTCACTTTATATGGCAGTGAATGCAGGAAAATATCATCAAAGATGAAGAGAAGACTTAAAGCAACAGAAATGTGATTCTACAGATGGCTGTTGATAATACAATGGACCAAACATGTGAGCAATGACAAGGTTTTGGAGAGAATGGAAACAAAAAGGAAACTGATACTTAACACCAGGAAGTGGTAGTTGAAATTTCTGGGGAACATAATGAGGAAGGAGGGCTTGGAAAATCTGATACTCATAGGACAGATTGAGGGACAGAGGAAAATAGTGCTTAATATACTTGATGGTCTTGAGTAAATAGGTGGCAGAACAGGATGTAGGAAAAATATCAAAAAGACAAAATTTATTATAGAATAGGAAGCTGCAGAGGGCCATGATCACCTACATTCTGAGAGGACATGATACATAAAGAAGGATTGAATCAAGGAAGAGATGGGAATAACTACAACTGCTTCAAGACTGCACAAAATTAACAAATCTTTTTAAAGAAAAATAAAAAATTTAAGACTTTATTAATAATAAAATTATAACTCACATCTCCAATCATGTATGTTTTGCTTGGATCACAGCCCAAATCTTCCAATGAAGACAAGAAGAAGGCTTTCTCAGGTTTACCAACAACATCTGCCTTAGTATCACATGCATACTCCAAGCCATAGACAAAAGGCCCTGAAAAAAAGATATAAAACAAATATTATTAGAGCAGGACATAAATGGATATTATTCATGGTAATAAGCATGTCAGGACTAATGGAAACTATTGTCGGTATTCCATTTATTGGTGTTGTAATTATAATTATCTACAGCAAGATTCTCCAACAATTCTTACCATATTTATGTACAATGCATAAAATTTAGAGTCAAAATGGAGTGATACATTATCAGTCAGTTGTGCCATGCATGATACACACTTAGGCGATCATGTATCTTTCAATGCATGACTGACGAGGCAGATTTTTTTTCCTGCAGTAGGTTGCCATTTCTTTCTGGTGTACACTTGTAAAAAGAATAAAAAATAAAGTACTACCTAAACTTTCAAAGAATTTTACCATATAAAAAATAAGCTACGCTTAAAATGGCTCTGTCAATTTTTTTTTTTTGTTTAATATCTTAAAATGATTCAACATTAAAGTAAATTAAATTTCATAATTGCTTACCAGGCCCAAGGGAGAGTCCATTTTTTGTTTGGTAATATCGTGCTTTGTGTATTGCCACGAGGGGTGCACCATTTTTAATCAATCTTTAAAAAATAAATTAGAATATTTCAAATTTTTTATCCTCCTAGAGAATGCTAGCAATAGCAAAATTGTTAATTTTTCAACTTTATTTACTCATTTGTGATTTAATAACATTTTAAAATATCTTTAAAAAATACATAAAAAAAAAAAAAACGTATTGAAATAAAACAAAGAAAAAAATACTAAATTTTGGAGCAACAATGCCTTGGAATAAAACTCAAAGAGTGATTGAGAAATGAGAGAGAAAGTGAATCCTATTTAGTAAATTTCTATTTGTAAAGTTCAAGAGAAGCACTTTATCAATTTAATATGGAAAAAGCTTCTGGGCCCCAAATAAAGCCTAAATTAACACATTCACTGTTAACTTAAATATTTGAACCATTACATAATGCCATAAATATTTTGTTGAGATGACCATTAAAAATTACTATAAAAGACTACATATTTTTTATTTTAAGAAGTAAAAATTATTATGCCAAAAATACCAATTCTCAATTGATCACCAAATATAAGCAGTGTTGAGTTCAGTCAGTAAATACATGGGGTGAACGCTTGGGAACACCAAGTATTGTAAGCAACCTCCTACAATCCAAAATATGTTTTGGCTTTAAATAACCCAGAAAAGGTTGATAAGTCATAAAAATCAAAAAGAATTATATTAATGTGTATCCTTTTTTTCTGTTTATAGTCTAATGCAGGAGTGGCCAAACTGCAACTCGCAAGTCACATGCAGCTCATGGAAATATATTGGCTGAGCTCCTTTTTTCATCACAGTTAATATAAAAGATAGTTCATTACCATATTAAAAAGACTCAATATAGTTAAAACAATCATCAGTTAAGATTATGAAAACATTTGGTTTGTATGTGTGTGTGTGTATATATATATATATATATATATATAAATAAATAAAGATTAAAATATTATATATACGCTAAAACAAATCCATATTATAATCAAAAATGTTTGCAGTTTCTCTATTTTTTACATAATATACATTTTTCTCTTGTTGGAACAGTTATAACCTTTTCTCCCCCTCTCTCTCTCTCTCTCTCTATATATATATATGTGTGTGTGTATGTGATTTGTGATTACTGAAAAAACTGCATACATGAAGAAATATTATATAGATGCATTTCTTAATATTTATATAAAAATTTTATAACAAAATAAAACAAAAACATATTTGAAAATTTTGTTCATGTCTTGTGGCTTTCAAACATCTGAACTTTATCGTATGTGACTCTTACATTAAGCAAGTTTGGCCACCCCTGTTCTAATGTGGCACAGTTGTGTCAGGAGTGTTTTAATCAAGAAACAACTATAAATTATGGTAAGAAAAATAAATAAATAGAACAATCTCCATTAACATTTAGCACTCTGCATCATTTATAAATATTACTTCTCCTTTTACTGTATATAGAATCCCCTCAAAATATAGTGTTTTATATATTAGTTCTATATATTTGAAATTGCATTAGTCTGGCTCTCTATTTCAGTCAAGATTGTTTTAGCTGTTTCCGTAGAAGGATATGACTACACAATCAAGAAATTCAAATTCAACTTGCATTAGCAAGACTAACATTTGATTGGCAAAAATAGTCACCTACAGTGTGCTGAAGGTTAATTCCCACATCAGCTGAAAGCTTCCATTTTTACCATAAAACTGTATCAGCACATATTTTATAATAGAGTCTATTTATGTTTTATTTGCCAGCATGAATAAAATTTGTTCTTGTTAAATTTTTAAATCCCACTTTTCATTATTTTTTGTCTTAATCCAGAACTTGAAATTTATACATCACCATAAAGGAAATACAAGTACAGATGTTAGTGCAATAAACTACCATTATTAAGAACAATATTGACTTGAACTTTTTTCCTATTTTGTTTTACTTACCTAAAAGCTTGGTTTAACTGTTCATAATGAAAATCTTTGGGTGATAATCCAATCACAACTGCATTAGGATTATCTTGAGGAATTCCTTAAATAAATAAATAATAAAAACAATAACAACAAACTACAGCAATATCAATTTGTTGCTACACAAAAAAAAATAAAGTATTTTGTCTACAAAATGTGGTCAATTAATTTTTTTCGAAAGAAAATTGGTATTTTTAACAATTCTACTTGAATGGATTTGATGGATCTTTTCTTCTTATTATTATTATTGTGGTGGTGGTGATGGTAATGATCTTTCCAAAACTTCCTTATTCAGTAGGTCATACCCAGTTGGAACACCAGTTTTTGTACAATCACTGAAGTTAAACAACATTGAGCCTGGTTAGTAGCTAGATGGATGACCACTTGAAAATACCAGGTGCTGTCAGCTTGGATGTGCAGGTGGTGAACAGCTCAGAATTGGAAATCAGAGAGCAGAGTTCTAATTTCAGTCATGTTCATTATATTCACTTACATGCAAATACCGCTGGGAACAGTATGAATCCACTTCTCCCCTCAGCTATTAATTAGTAGTGGTTGTATCAGTAAACTAGTATTATCTTCAAAAAATTCTTACAATCTAAAAAATATTTTCTGGTTTTAAATAACCAAAAAGATTGTGTAGAAACTTTGTGCACTTATCCCAGCAAAACTCTTGTGGAAGGTGAAAAATGAGGGAATTCAACTTTAATCTTGTGACGAAAATATAATGAAAGATATTATTTCATCTTCACAGAAAATTTATAGAAATGTGTTCCTGTCAACCCCATCTGATTGAAGGGGAGTCAAAATTTGCAAGAGAAATATAAAAGTTAGCCAAAAGCTGTATTCGTTTTCTTCCTTCATTACAACCTTGTTCTCTCTTTTGAAGCTGACTGGATGTGTTACCAAAACTGTTAATAAGAGTCCTAACTCTTTATTTTCTATTGTTACTTCTACAAGGAGAATTACTTGTAGGTAACATATAGTGTTTTTTGTTGCAGTTTGACACAAATGATTGCCACCGTGAGATTACACTAGTTACAAGTAAGAATTCATTATCATTTCTTTCTTTCTGCACCGGGTTTCACTTAAAATGCTAATATTTTTCTACCCTCCCTTTCTCCACAGACTTGAAATCCCGACAATTGATAAAAAAAAACAAAACAGTCAAAATTAATTCAGCAGATATGATTTATTTAAAGAATTAAAAATTCAGTTATTCCAATTTTATAGTTGTATACTGGCCTCTGGCAAGGTTAATAACTTTTTATGTTTATCATTACCTCAATAATAATTATGGAAGAGTAGTTTACCCAAGTGTCCATTCATTCATGCTAATGTGGCTTTTTTCAAGTGTAGTGCAATGTGTATACCATCCCAGATCATTCCAGACTCAATTTCATGCCAGACCATCAAAGAAACCAGGTGCAGAGTTAATGGAGAAGTATGTGATTTCACACTGGCATCCAGTTTTGTTAATATAGGAGAGACATGTGGTTATATAAACAACCATCCTGAAGAGAAGTGAATAAAATGTAATATTAAGTAAGTAAAGATTCAAGTCTTGTGCTATCCTTTAATTAATTCATTATAGCAATACTGCTAACAGAACATGAAGACCTACATGCATAGATGGGTCTTTCCATGTGTCAAGGTTTACAAGGCAATGTTTTCATTTTATGATACAGGATTTGTTCATTAAAAATTTTGTTCCAAATTGTAAATTTTTTTTTACATGGCTCAAATGTTAGCCCAACATCCAACCCTGAACAAGGAAATCTTCTGTTGAAATTCAAACTGAAACTTCTGATTCCATTTCTGTGACAATCACTACACTACATCAAATCTTCTTGGTAAAGGTCAAATTTTAGTTTTACTTTAAATTTAGATATATGGTGGAACAGGGCACAGAATAAATTGGATTCAGGCCTTTTCTGAAGAGTATTAATGACAAGTGAATATGAATAAACTAAGCTAGAATTCTTTTCACAGATTCCTTTTTTGATGCAAATAATCATTATGTCATCACAACCCCCACCAATAGTGATGAAGCTCATTAAAGACAGAAATCAAATTTAAATCCAAGAATTTTACAAATTTACCTTGAAAATCTTCCTTTGCTTGTTCCTCCAACAATAACATTGGTCTGACTTTGAGTTGCTCAACATAATAACGAGCAGCAGTAAGTGAAGTGAAAATATCCTTGATGTCAATATGAAATCCCAGTTTGATAAGACGTTCATGAAGAGATCGTTTGCATTCTTTTGTTGTGTTGGTGACAAATTTCAGTTTTAGTTTGCTCTTCTGCAGACTTAAAAATAAAATAAAATAAATAGATAGCAAAAAGAAAAGTTATTCTTCTTCAAAAAAAAAAAAATATATATTAAGTAATAATTACAAGACAAAAATCCAGTCATGTACTGCAGTATTCAGAACAAGGCCATCTGGCCATTCATAATTCAAAAATTCCACAGGATACCATGGTTCAATGGGTGTTTGTTATTCATTTTCATATTTAAAACGTTGTGTGTGTTGTATTGAATTTAGTCATCTTTTTAATTCTTAAATATCAAACAAACATTAGCAAATACATGTGGTTAAATTATTTTTAAGAAAACGTCAAAAATCCAACCAAGATCCTCTGTAAATAAGTTATTATTCCGAAACTTGTTTCTATACATGATGCTGTGTGGGGGAGACTTGAATCTTAAAATAATGGTGCTTTCAAATACTCAATATAGCCAATTTTTTTTTAACTTAAAGATTATGATGGATTAAACAAAAAAAAAATATTTTAAAACACCAATAAATGAATAAGTTATCAATTCAATTTCATTCAAAAAAAAAAAAAAAAAAAAAAAAAAAGTTATATAATCCTTCAGCAAAAAAACAGATGAAAAATAGAAAATAAAAAAATGATAGTTATTTTTTTTTTTCACATTCGGTTACTTAAGCTTAGTACAAGAAATCGACAGCCCGAGTTCGAATTCCAGTCGAGCAAGTCAATCAAGTAATACAAAAAATTTATAAAATTTAATTAATTTAAAAAATGATTTTGTTTGTTATCCAAACAGCGCTTGTTAATCACGAATGAATGACGTGTGGCAATTTAAAGCAGCATTAGATAAGTTTTTTTTTAATAATTAAACAGAAAGTAAAGAGTTATATTGTAATTAATAACAGAAATAGTGTCAATGTCAAAATTACAATTCAATGTCAATATTATTGTTAAGTTTTAAAAGTTAAAAAAAAAACTAAAAACACTCAAGCGTGTGACACTAAGTTAAGGGTATTAAAAAAGAAGAAAAGAATCTAAATTTCGACGTCTGGGTGCTGAAGAAGCAAAATATTAACAATAACATTCAACAACAATTGGTTACATTTCGATATTTAACCTAAAAAAAAAAAAAAACATTGTTTCAACTTCAAGGCTGCTGTCCGGGTACTGGAAATATATTAAGTTCTGGCACACTGGTGAGAAATACGAGACATTGTTTATTAGACTTTAGCTTTGGCCGGTACAAAACCACCTATTAGATTAAAATTTAGAGTAGAAAGATTGTAAAGCGTTAATTTTTCAAATGGGAAAGTTTTTTGAACATTTGGCAACAGTGGAAAATAAATTGACACAGAAACGAGTTTGTTTACTGGTCTGTTGTTTTGCGTCAAAACCAATAATCACATAGATTTACTTAACAAAGGACTAATCATTTACTTAACAAAGGACTAATCTTCTTGAACTCTGTCATTCCAGGATGATTGAAAATAAATATTTCTACAAATTTTAAACCTTACGTATTTAGAGATTCCACAGCGCCATCAACAGCTGAATCTTCAATATGTAACGTACCACTCAAATCAATGAGAACAGCTTCCATATTATTTCTTTCAATTTTGTAATGAGAAAAATACGGTGAAAACAGAACTAAGTTTTGCCAGACTGGTTTTGAGATTTTCAAACACCCCCAACAATCATAAACGACTCTGATCACACCGAGCATAAGAAGCTGTATTATTTTGTTTCCACACACCAAGCCATAACTTATCGTAATGAAAAAAGTCACGGCTGAATTATCTCCCTTGTTTTATTTTGCGCAAAATTACGTCGGGTAAAAAAAAAATTAAAAAAAATATAATGTAATGAAGTTAGGAAATTAGACAACAAAACAACTTCTCTTTTTTCTTTGATATTTTTTTCTCTGTTCTGATAAAAAATTAGTTATAAATCTGGTTATATCAATCTAAAAATAAAACGCTCCGTAGTTAGTTAAAAAAAAGTAAAAAAAAAAAAGTTAATTTTAAAATTTCTTAGACAAAGTGAATGATTATTTGTTAGTTATTATTAATTTTTCGAGAAGTATTTCTTTCCAGTTACTTTTTATTGCAACTCCAAGTGTCATTCTATGGTGATTATTAAGCAATGATCGTAAATATAAAGAGGACTAAGAAGACAACTTGCATCCTTTTCCCCACATTAAAACTGTCTTAACGCAACAGGTGCGTTATCGATTAGGCCATGAAATATCTTGTTTTTGTGTTCGATCCATTTACTTTCTTACGACCGTAGAATGACAGTAAAGTTGCGATAAAAAGCAACTGAAATTAAAATAACAGGAATATTTGTCGAAAGTTTGTATTATTATTATAATGGGTATATTATTGTGAGTACCACTATGTCTCAATCGAAATTTTCACTCCAACATTTGAAAACATTAAATAAAAAAAAACTTAAAAGTTTACAAGTTAGACTATTACCACTTACACAAAAATCAAATCCAGATCTAACTTTCTACTAATCGCATCCAAATTTATTTCTAGTCAAAGAGAAATTAAAAGAAAAATAGAAGTTCCATCATCCTATTGGAACTGTTGGATTTAACTAACAAATCGATAATCACATACGTCAAAATATTGTATTACCGCACTCCCCGCCACGATAATTACAGGCCGCGCGAGATTTGAAAGAATCTCTCTTTTTTCTTGGTCACTTTCATAGCAAAAGACGTATTCTTCTCGCCCCCGTCGACATGTAAGTACAGCTTCAGACATTGAACGTTGCTTTGAACTCTTCGTATTTAATTTAATTTCTCATTTTTCCTTTTTGTAAAATGTCCTGGCAATATATTTGTTAATATTTATCTGTTTAAATTTTTATGGCTAATATTATTTTTGCCCGGACTCACATGAGTCCGCCAATATTCTTTGCTGGTCAAATGTACCAGGAGCATCAATAACTCATCAAAAGTGTTGAACCCCGCAACAAAATGCTAACAGACCGACGTGATGTTCTGGCTATATATGAAAAAAAGATACTTTGAAAAAGGACATTACTAGTTCTCCCCACCCACCCCTCAAAATTCTTTACGTTTTAGAACAACATGTGCATAGATTTTTGGCAGACTGCTATAACAACTACTCATCAGGCAACTTACGGCCACTTCACAGTTTAATCGCTTTCCTTCAACAGTGGTTATAATTATAAAACGTCCGGCTTGGATCGATTCGAGGTGTTTCCCACGCTGGTCTTCTGACTGTTATCTGTTGACCGCTTCGTTCATTCATCTACTCTGTCCACGATGTGTTCTTTGATCACAGTGCAGTGAAGATCGAACTTCCGTCCGCACTAAGGCGTGAAATCGAGTTGGCGGAACCGTTGCTATGAAAAAGGACAAGAATGTTTTTGCTGATGTAAAGTTGTAAACACAAATATAATAACAAATAGCGGAGAAGGCCGCTGAGTTCATTTTCAATTGGTTCATATAACCGTTGGTACAACAAAATTAACCCTTTCCGTTTGGCTCAATGTAACTCTTGCTTGTAAAAGTTGGAGCAGCTTAAAGTCACACAAGATGTTAAGTCGTCGGGACTTCTCGTCATCAATTCTCTTGTCTGACTCAACGTCAGCAGTTCTCTTCGGCAGCAGGTCATGTGGCTTATTCCGGCATCTTCCGGCCATCGCCGGACCCTGGCGCCCTCTTCTGGTCTCTTGTCGCTTCTCGCTCAAACTGAGACTGCCGCTCGCTTCAACCGAGCATTCGGTTTGTATGCATCACGCTACTCTTCAAAGCTCATTACATATTCGTCACTTAATTATTTTCTCCAACCCTGGAGACTTGACTCCAACCCTAAAGAAAGCAGTCTGGTATTTCAAAATAATAAACTTTGTTTTAAGAAACTCCTTTCTTTTTCCCAAAAAATTATTTTCTCGTCAATAAATTTTATTTCAAATCAGCAATTTCTTTTGGTTGTCGATTTACCAACTAGTTTGTCTGTCCATTTTCAAAACACACCCCAGATTATTTATACTACTCCAAACCATATTTCGGACTCCACATTCCATTCAGCAATTCCTTTTGCTTACATTTCTGGTTTTACTTACATTTGGTCCTCGGCCAACAGATAACTTTCAAATACTAGCACAATCGACTGCAAGAATCTCCCTTTGTTTGCCGAAGTCCAATACGAACTTGTTGCGGACCCTTAGCGTGCAGTGCTGGTTTATTAAAAAGTGACCTTGTGCTAGACACTACACAAAACTACCGAATCCACAAACAAAGTAAAAATATTGCGTGAGTGAACTTAATGAGGAAAAGGGGTCATTCAACAAGTGCATAAATATAATACAAGTAGATAGCCTGGTAGTGAATAGAGGAAAGTTCGAAAGTTGTTCGCGTCAAGAAAAGAAATTGGTCTTGGAAAAATATATTGCCGACGGTGTCGTAGGAACTCGACATTTTCTAGTTGAAAACGGAGAAAAGGTTCAACAAGCTGTTGCATCAAGACGGGGATAAGTCTTGGAAAAATATATATTGACGACGGTGTTGTAGGAACTCGACATTTTCTAGTTGAAAATGGAGAAAAGGTTCAACATGCTGGTTGCATCAAGACGAGAATGAGTCTTGGAAAAGTGTGAGGTCGACATGTTGAAGTTTTGGTTAGTTAAGGATAAAATATTCCGGCCCGCGTATGGGTTAGGGGCACGGAATAAATGAGTTGTCCTTCTAGCTTGAAAATCGGGATGCAACTGAGTTAGAAACACTGGACGTCTGTGACGTCAGGAAAACGAGCGGGAAAAAATTCAAATTTTGATTTTAGACGTTATCAGGAGCAGCTAGTCAGCAACCTTCCTCGCCGCCAGCCAAAAAGGTTGTTTACTGCTATGTCTGGCTTAACGAGAGAGGAAGGGGTGTAATCCGCGGGCACGCGCGCGCACACACGCACAAGTGTGGAAGGAAGGGAGGAAAAACTCGCACGCGCGTAAAATGTAGGTGGAATTACTGTGTTATTCCACAACCTAAATAATTACCGCGACAATCAGCCGTATTTTTATCAAAACAAAATTATTTATCCCAAATCAGAAAAAAATTTCTTTTGCTGTTTTACATTCCGGCTTTCGTATTCATAACAATTCTTATTTGCGTTTAAGTTTATAAAAAAAAAAGAAAAAGAAAACATTCATTTTTTTTCCTTAGCTTCATCATTCAATTCTTGCTTCTTCTTTCCAACGTTTTCTTTTCTAACGGTTTTCAACCCTTCCAATGCTCCAATTCTGTAAAGGTGTTTTTACATGAGCACTTTAATTCCTAATTCTAAACTACCAGTGTTACGATATAGTGTCACATTCCTTTCAACTACTACCAGTGACCTTTTATAGTGTTACATCATGGCCTAATACTGCACCTGCAGGAATATTTTATTATAGCCACATGATTTTTGCGAGAGTGGAACGCCAATTTCAGTGACAAGGAAAAAACGAATATTCTTTCTTAATAGCAGTAAATATGGAAGAACCGAATGAAGTTGTCCTATCGTTACAGTTAGCCCAATACAATCCACTGGATATACAGACATGGTTCGCTCAACTGCAGGCTATTTTCACGGCAAGAAAGAGTAACTTCCCAAAAGACGAAATTCCCCTACGTTGTTGAAAAACATCCAACCCTCCGCACGCGAAATTCTAGAATTGCTGAACGCAGTGCCTGAGGTGAATCAATACGACATGCCGAGCGAGTGAAAGCAATGTCAATGAGATCCAGCCATGTCTCGTGTTATCACAGGCGATGTTTTTGTCGAAATAGACGTAGCAGCCGATACAGTTCAAAATTCCGCGTGCGTAACACCGGAATATGTTGGCATCATAAATTTGGTGCTAATGCTAAAAAAAGTGCACAAAACCTTATACATTCATACCAGTGTAACGTATATTCCGACTAATGATGACAACGACTGCGTCCGGGTATTCGAAGAAATGTCATCTATTGTACATTCATGATTCGTGTCACGAATACTAATTTTTTGTTGACACAAGTGCCGAAATTAGCGTTTTCCCTCCGACAGCAGAAAATAATTTTGCACATCGCCGTATAAACTCTAAGCAGCGAACTGCGAACAGTACAAAAATTGACACATATGGTGGAAAATATCTCAGGTTAAATTTTGGTATTGTGGTGGTACTGAGCAAGCGAAGGACCGGATGTTAACCCTCAGAGGTCTAGATAGTAAATGACCAATACTGGTCTTTGCGCACCAGGCTCGACGCATAAGTTCCGGTGAAAAATCAAAAAGAAATAAAAAGAATATAATAAGCAATTTCCACCAATTAAACGGCCCCGCGCCATATCCAACAGTTTGTTTCAGCATACTGACTCAGATCCGATGGACACACATAAATAGAACGATGAATTCACTTCTGGTCAGAAAGCCTTGAAGTTACCGTCATAGAATGTCGCTACGCTTTTCTCACCCATCAACCCGACGCCTCCAGTTTTCCTTCACCAACGAAGATATCAAATGACACCTACCAACCCATTGACCTCACTTTTCATCTCCTGGGACCTGCACGCCTAAACTTAAGTATTCACAAAATGACACTTTAATT